GTTTGAATGCCCCAGTTCTCATGTAAACAATGCTGGCTTCAATCTCATAGAGATCCACCAGAGTCTCACTCTCCCCATACATACATACATACATACATACATACATACATACACACACACACACACACACACACAACACAACACATACACACTAGGATTAAAAGTATGCACCACTAATTCTGGCTTATTTGCTTGTTTTTGTGCTCTAAATTTTACTTCATTCATTTTTGCTTTAACCATTCAACATTAAGAGAACACCTTGGTTATACTCACTCTGGATATAGAAACTTTGTATCAAACTCTGAATCTTCACTATTGATTTCTGGATGTTGGGTCAGTGTCTGCCATCTCAGAGTCCCTCATGAATTTTATGTGAGTTCAGCCATTGGACCAAAAGTAAAACATCAAGGCCTTGGAAGGGAATAGTCATAATATCTAATAGTTTTGAAGATTTGGGGCTTCTTCATAATTCTCAGTTTCTAATCAATGAGTCAAAATATTTAAGATGTTTGGAGGTACTGTTAATAATTTAAAAACGTTCTTTTGGAGCCAGGCGGTGGTGGCACATGCCTTTAATCCCAGCACTCGGGAGGCAGAGCAAGTCGGATCTCTGTGAGTTCAAGGCCAGCCTGGACTACCAAGTAAGTCCCAGGAAAGGCGCAAAGCTACACAGAGAAACCCTGTCTTCAAAAACCAAAAAAAAAATGTGGTTTTGGTCATTTTAGGTTACCTGGTATGATTTATTCTGTTAACAAATTCTTATATATAATGGGATTAAAAGCATTTAAAATTAATGACTGGTATTGAATTATGTTTATCTCTGCTAATAACCCAACTGCCTTAAAGACTGTGGTATAAAGTGTTGATGGTTCATAGCATTGACAGAGCTGAAAAATAGGGTTCACAGCAGAGATTTCCAAATTAGTGTCTGCAGGACTCATGAATCCTAAGAATTATCAGTGTGGCTCTTGGTATTTAATGAGCTGATGGAAAGAAATAGTCAGATTTTCTCAGGGATGCAAACCCTGAGAAGCTGCCCATTTTCCAATAAATGGTCCCATATCCATTCGCACACAGGTGCTATAAAATTGTTTACTTGTTATTAAACAGACAAAACATATATGAACATCATATGGAATAGTGATAGTGGTAATTGGAGAGGAATTCTAGTGTAGGGAATGGGCTGGAATTTTACAAATACACAATTTCATATATTAATATTGAATAAATTTTTGTGAATATTAATTGCACCTGAGAAACAAAAAGATTGCCACTTGCCTACAGACACTTGTGTAACCACACATAAAAAATTGCACACATACAGAATTGTTGAGAATTTAAGTACATTTTAAGCTTTTCTTTTCTAAAATAAATACTTCTTAAATCATTTCTTTATCATTGTAACACTGTGTGATACTCTGTGATAATTTGGTGCATTTTGAGCAGGGCTTGAAAGCAACATTTCTTTTTACAACCCCAAGCAGCTTTTTTAGAGTACTCTAATAGCCATAAATATGTTAGATAGTTTTACAATTAAAGAATATAATTATAGCACCCGGAGAAACGGACACAGGCAGCTCATAAAGAGACAGCAGCAAGCTGCACTCGGCAGCCCAGGTTCACAAGCAGAAAGGTGAAGACAGTAATGGAGGTTTTCTTTTATATAGCCAGTATGTACCCCTGAGCAGGTAGATACGTGATCAGCACCTAGGTACCACTACCTCTTCTTGTCTGTTGTTAACTGAAAGCAGAGATCGGGAAAATTATGTTTTGTCCTGTCTTTCCCTTTCACTTTCCTTGTTCCTGCTTTATCACAAAGGGAGGAGGGAGAGGAAGATGAATCAGCTGCGCTGGTGGAAATCACCTAGGTTACCGCAGGCATTTGCTTTCCATGGCTAGGTTTGAGATCTCTCTTCTGATTGGTTCTTGATCCACTTTCTATTTGAATGCACCCACTCCTCCAATTAGAGGCAACCAGAGGTAATAAAAATCTCCGCAGCCAGGGATTTTACCAGTCAGGCTCCTGGCTAGAATCCAGGTACCAGCTGGTACCTGATCTAGCCAAAGCCTGACTGTAAGCTGTGAGAACAAAGGAAGGCTGCGCCTGTATCCTGCAGGTGACAGAGCAAGTGAAAACCAAGCAGAGGCATGGATCTGCTGAAATTCCCCGCACTCCGGCTCTGAGTCACAGGCTCCTGCTTCCTGTGTAAGAAATGTGAGCCTGCTTCTTTAGCCGTTTGCTTCTGCTTTAAAATCCATCATCCATGCCTGTCTTGTAGTCCTGCATCATCGGCAAGGAATATGACGCAGTTTGGAATCAGTTTCTGACCGAGACCAGGGATGTGCTGTTCCTTACACTTCCTTGGGGGACCCATTGTGAAGGACTGCCATGGCAAAGTCTGTTCTCATGTAGCCACTGAGACGCTCTGAGAGCCTTGACCTTTAACATTCCCTATGCCTTACTCAGCCTTGATGCAGCGGGGAGGGGCTAGGTCCAGCCCCCAACTTGGTATGCCAGCCTGCCTTGACTGCCCAAGGGAGGCCTTACCTTCTATGAGGAGGGAATAGGGGTGATGTGGGGGTAGGTGTGGAGAGTCGGGGGAGCTGGAGAAGAGGGTCATCTAAAGCCCTCTGTGGGCTAAAACGTATAATACTAGCAATGTTATTTATCATCCTGCTGCCTTCACGGACCACAGAGGTTCAAATTTTCAATCGGGTTTTTAAAGTCTGGTTTAAATTTTCACTTCAGTCTGGCAATACTGTCTTCCCCGTGTGTCCATTCACTTCTGTGGCGTGCATAAGGCATGAGATTCTTAGAAAATAATTCTCTCGGTGCTGTCTGAGTAGTATTCTGTACTCCCACTGAAAGAAATTTAGGCAGCAGATTTCCTTGTCACGCTTTTTCACAAGGAATCGCCGCTTGCTGACCAGTATCTCATTAGCATTCTGTTTCCACGAACCAATTCTGTGTTTTTGTTGCATTTTCCTGAAGAGTCCTTCTGCCTGCACAGAGGGAAAAAAACCCAAACAGAGGTTTTTTATCAAGGAGAAGGCAGTTATTATTTCATTCTCTGTGGCCACCAACTGGTAAAACCTAATTTCAAATGAGGAAGTAACACAGTAAACAACATATCTCCTGGGAACTTGTTCAGTTACCAATGAATAGCTATCAATACCCTGTGAATTCAGTACAGTGACCCCACACAGCTAGGACTCACTCCTACTTTAATACCCATGACGATGGTGCTTCTCCACTGTATTCACACATTCACTTAGGAAACAATTTCTGTGGTCTAGAGCCTAGAAGAAGAGTGTTTCATTTCATGCCTGCAGGTGTCTACCATGACTTTACTTTATGAAGGAAATGCTGTGAGTACAGGAGTGCTTATAACCGAGATCTCAGGAAGTGTTTGGGGATATGAATGCCAAAATAAAAAGTCATCTCCATGTACTTTTGTTTATTTAATATGCATGAAGGACCTTTTAAGGTCTTGACAGAAGAAACTGCTATACATTATTGATAAATGTCCAGAATTCTGGCATAGACATGGAGTTCTGGCTGAAGTTAAAAAAGAAAAAAAAAACAGCCACATAAAGTTCTGTTGTGGTTAAGAGTGCTCATGAAGAGGACCAAAGCTTGGTTCACAGCATCCAGATTTGGCAATTTACTGCAGCTTGTGATTCCACCTCCTTGGAGTCTAAAATGCTTTCCTACCCTATGTGGGTACTCACAGACATAGAAGCACACACATAAAATATTAATATTTAAAAATCACTTTCAAAAGAAATGTGCAAACTTAGTTGAGACTATTTGGGTCTTGAAACTAGCCAGGCTGTATACTCTCTCATTTAGCCCCACATTCCCTGCTACTGTGAAGACTTTCATAAAACACACAAATACAGCAGAGCATAATTCCAGTGTCATACTATGAGAATGACCTGTCTACTCACCAGAATTCCTGTTAGATGTGTGCACTTTATGTTGTTTATAATTATATTTCACTGAAAATATTGAAAACTTTTTTTTTTTTTACATAGTGTCATAGGTACTTTGGAGAATTGTCTACTTTTGGAATTTGCTTGATTAACACAATCTTCTGGTTACGTTACAGTGTTTTCAAAAAAAATATTCTGAACAATAGATGCTCTACACTTAGGTGATCTGGAAGTATGTTACTCAATTGAGCTATCTTTTCTGCATATTGCAGTTTCTCTTGTTGATTATTTTCTTTTTATTCTGTTACAGTATTTTCATTTATATTTTAGGAGTAAGATTTTAATTGATGTTTATGAAGGTGAGAATGAGGGGATAGTTCAGTAATCCACTTTGTTCTATGTTACCTCTTCAGAGGACATATGAGATAACACTCAAACTTCTACCAGTGTAACACTTTGCTATCCCACAGAGCCCCACCCTCAGTAGCCCTTTCAATTCCCATTAGTCTGAGGTATTGAGTTCCTTGACCACGTCCTGCCCATGATAAACAAAACACATTCACTAAGGACTTCATCATGTCTCCACATTTTTTAAAAAACTCTTGTTGTTGTTTGTTTGGTGATAAGTGAATCACCATGCTCCTGAATATCTATAGTGTTGTGCATCGTTCACATATGTGCACATATGTGAATATAGGGGATGACAAATCCATGGCAGCTGGCACCATATTCATTTCATGAGACTGGATTCCTGAATGAAATTCACTTAGTTGTTTTGGGTGGGCTAGTAATGCAATAACCCCAAGAGAAAATCTTAGACTTCACCAAATGCCGGAATGCAGTCTTGACTAGTACTGTTCTTCACTCTTTCATACCACCCCTTTTATGTGTTTCTTATATTTCACACATATGCCTATGGGGACAAAATTTTCTGTTCTTGTCAGCTGTCTGGCAAGCTTTATGATTAACATCTTCCTACTGAATTATTTTTGAAATATTATTTTATATGTATGTTTAGTCTGAAATATTTTATTAACTCATTAAATATTTCATTTATTGACCAGTGAATTAATCCAGAATGATCAGTCATAGAGAAGGAATTTGGAAGTGGACCCTGGAAAGCTGATGTGTAACTTCTGACCTCAACCTTGGCCCTGATATACATCTGCCTTACTGGAAAAGAAAATAGTGAGTAATTGTCATGTGCATTTGAAATCAGATTAATATGGTAAATTTGTTGTGTACAAATAAGAGACAATGCAGGTGGCACTATGACTTAGTTGGTCTTAGCTTTATAACAAATCTATAAAAAATGTTGATATTAGAGAAAAATTGAAGGAATTAACAGATATTATGATTTCACAAGTAGTTTTAGAATATTGGCCTCCAAAATTTCCATAAAAACATTATATGTATTTGTTTTTCAGGATTCTTTAGAGAAACAGAACTCATAGAATGTATATTCTAATAGGATGAACCTCTACTGTCCTCTCCAAATATTTTATCATATTTGGGTGGAAAATTTTTTCACATATGCTGACACACCAGTCTTCCATAAATCTAGAT